AGAGACCGAGAAACGAAGTGGCTTCGGTCGGAAATGCCTTGACCTGCAGGGGCATCTGTGGTTGCTGTCCCAGGAGCCATGGGGGGGGGAGGGGTCTGGCCAGGAGGCAGCCAGCCAGCCCCTGCACATACTAATGTGGCCCTGAGTGTCCATGATGGGGGCCACCCACCACTCTGCCCACCCCCAGCACAAATGCCCCTGCCCTGTGGCCATGGTGGTCAGTGTGGCCCTGCCTCTGCCCCCTGAAGATGGCCCGACCCTTGTCTTGAGGCTGAAGGGGACAGACGGGGAGTGGGGCTGGGGGTTCTATTTTCTGAAGGCTGCCCACTGGCCGCTGCTCAGCCCCCTACCCCAGATGAGGAAGGCCGCCCCGAGGAGGAAGTCCAGAATCATTCCAAAACCACACAGAGCTTGGGGGCATCCCCCGTCCTGCCCCCAACCGTGCCCAGTGGAAGTAGTAGAGGTGACAGCCTGGGCTGAGGGCTGAGTGGCCCCTTGGGGCAGGCAGAACGCTTCACTCCCCACACCCAGCAGAGGGCCTGCTCCACCCCCGCCACGCCGGCCAAGGGCCTGTCTCTAGGCTGCCCCTGCGCCCCGGGGGCCTGACTCGGTTTCCCCACCTTGTCCGCTGGCCCTCCGCCACGACGCAGCACGGTTGGGCCCTGGCTGTGGCAGAGGCCGAGATGCCCTTCTGACATACAGCTTGCATCTGGCTCCGGAGTGGCCCCTCTCATGGCGCCCATGGCAGGCGGAAGGCCCTTTGGGCCTGGGTAAATGCACCCTCTGTCTGGAGAGTCTGCCCTGGCGTTGAGTCTGGCCAGTTCCAACGGCCCTGGCCGCGCTGGCTGAGCTTCCTGCCCCTCCTGCCCACAAGGGCAAGGCCTGGAAACGTCCCCAGGCACCACCCCACCCTGCCTGAGTCCGACCATCATGCTCTTTTCATCGTTTCTGTATTTGGCCAGCCCTGCACATCTCTGTTCCACAGCAGACTTGAGCCCACCAAGCCCCTCTGTGCACCCTGTCCCAGCCTGCCCACCCACAGGTGGCACCTCGCCCCCTGCGCCAGACACTGGGACGATGGCAAGTCCAATTTCTAGTTGCCCCATCCTTTCCTTCACTCCCCACCAATGGTCTGAAACCCTGGCAGTTCCACCTTCACAACAGACCCAGAATCCGACCCCTCCTGCCCTCGGTGGCACCTGGATCACCCGTCCCCTCCTGCCTGCTGCCCCTTTAGTTCCCTCTGCATGCAGGGGCTGGAGGTGCAGTGGGGACCGGTTAGATCTGGCTCTTCCCCTTCTCAACCCCATGCAGGGCCCACGAGGGCCTCCTGCCCCTGCCCCCTGGCTCTGTCAGCTCCAGACAGCTTCTGGCTGCTCCTGCACCTGCCAGGCCCGCTCCTGCCCCGGG